CCTCACCGTGTTACCTTGGGTCCTCAGAGTTTCAGCATCGCTAGAGAGGAGCCTAAAAGTGGCAAGAGTCTGGGGTGGTCTTCCTCCTCTGTGTGTTGTGGGGTGATGCCCTCTGTTCTCATACTCATGCTATACCTAAGTTGGAGAGGTTGAAATTTCCCCCTTCCCTTATAGGTTTTGTTCGTTAGTCTAATAATTAAATTGACACGAGACATTAACAGGAGGAAAAAAAATTAATTTGTACATAGGGAGGTCTCATAGATAGGGGACCTACAGAAATGATCAAAGCAGGCAGCTTTTACACTTTTTAGAGAAAGAAATGATAAATTTTTGAGGAATTGACAAGACAAATCAACTTAGGCTTGGATCGTAATTAGTGAAGAAACTAATCAGAGTTTGTTTACACAGCCTTCTCTGCCCTGAATTCCCCATCTCTGGCGATAAGGATGTCTCGCTACCTCCTGGCGCAGGGAGGGTAACTTTCACATAGGGCATTTATTTACTGCTTCCTGGGGCACAAAGGAGGGTCAGAGTATCTTTCTTGTACTGGCTGTTTCTTAAGTAACTTCAATTCAAAATAATCAATATACCAAAGTGGCACAATTTGGGAAGGCAAATGTTGCTTCCCTACACCTGCCATTCCTTATGACCATCATAAGTTGGAACATCTGCTCTGCAGGGGCGACCTCAGATGTGGTGTCTCTCCTGGTATGTATGTACATATGTATGAATGCATGTATGTACGCATGCTTTACGTATGAGCTGTGCTTCACTCTATAACCTGGACTTTAAAAAAGAGGCTATATGAGAGTGGGAGCATGCAGAGATGTCTGAGATTGGGAGTCAAGGATGGGGCTAGGGGAAGCCAGATAGAACTGCATTTGGATTTCATGAAGAAGAGGAACTCTTCCCACAGAAATTTCCCGGATCTTTGTGTGTTGCCCATTATGTGTGATTTATGTCGCTCTCTGATGGTTGCATTTCCCTTAAGAATGAAAAGAATCCATGTGCTTGTTTATGAAAAATAGTGTCCAGTGAATTAGCATTCTTTCCTGTGGCCAGACTTGGAAGGAAGACTGCAGGGAAAGCGTTGGGATGTAATACGGCTTTATGGTAAAGAGTGCAGGCTCTGAAATTAGGACGCCTGGGTTTCAATCTCTGGTCCACCACTAATTTTTTGGGCGAGCTGCTTAACCTCTTTTTGCCTCAGTCTCCATCTACACTTGCATAATCTGAATAATAATGGCACATTATTTAGTATGTAAAGATTAGATGAGACATAGCATGTAAAGTGATTAGACAGGCCCTGGCGAACAGTAGGTGTCCCATAGATGTTATCTGCGATTATTCTTGCCTGCAGCTTGAGAGGAGAAAGGGTCAGACAACAAAGAGTCATCTCCATCCAGTGATCCAGATGTGGATGCAGACTTGGAACAGGAGCCCAGAAGTCACTGAGAATATCTACCTTTGCCCTTGATCCTGTCGATCTCCAGCCACCTCCCTCTCAGGCTCAGTCTCTCTGCAAAGCAGGTGTCAGTAGAGCTGTGTTCTTTCCTATTTTAAGTCATTTCTTCTTTTAGGGGGAAACTTAGCAAGGTGAGAACATAAGTAAGCCTCAATTACTATAGATGCTGATGTAAATAACCAGTTATTACAGTTAATAATCAGAAGCGTGGTTGAAATCTGTAGATGAATTTTACTGTTGCTTGCAGGGTGGGGAAGGATCAGTGAACGGCTCTGATCTTCATTCCCGTTGCACAGACTGTGCTGTAAGCATCAGAATTGTCATACGAGGTCAGGCCTGTGGGCCAGACAACACAGAACTTGGGTTTTCCCAGTATATAACCAAGGAAGAGGCAAGGACAGAGCATGGTTTTGCTCCTCCCATCCCCTCAAAGGATTGAAGATACAGCCCCAAATAGAGGAATCTGTTATGAATCTATCATACAGCCATGGAGTTGTGCAAAATTTTCTATACGAAATCTTTATTTTCAATCTTTATCAGCTCTTAGTGTTAAAATATCTTTGAAGGAGCTTAAAGAGCCATTGCATTTCTTTGTGGTATGCCAAATGGAAAGATTTTTCTTGAGGTATGATTGACAAGTAAAAACTGTATATATTTAAGGTGTGCAACATGATGTTTCGATAAACATATACTGTGAAATGATTACCACAATCAAGCTAATTAACATATCCTTTACCTCACATAGTTATCATTTGCTGTTTTTGTGTGTGTGTGTGTATGGTGAGAACATGTAAAATCTACCCTCTCAGCAAATTTCAGGAATACAATATTATTAACTACAGTCACCATTCTGTATAGTAGATCCTCGGAACTTATTCATCTTTTGTTTTGTTTCAATCTAAGAGACAATCAAGGAGGAGGGGGAAGCGGCCCTAGAGATTAAGTTACTGTACCAAACATTGGTTCCCAAACTTGGGAGTTCCCAGGGTGAAATCTAAACTGGCCTGGGAACTCTGGAACGCAGAGGGCAAGGAGAGACTGAAGAAAGAGGCAGACCACTCCACGTGCTAGGTGGCAATTTTAATAAGCAAAGGAGCTTACATGCTAGGCTTGTCTTGGGTGGCCGCAAGACAAGTGGATCTCCGCATTCACCCACCAGAATGCGTGGTACTATGCTCAGTGCTTTACAGGCAATATCTCATTTTATGTTTACAGATGAGGAGTGTTTTGTGTATATATATCATAGTGTGTGTGTATATATATATATACACACATATATATACTAATATAGTATATTTACTATGATCACTAATTTGCAGACAATGAAACTGTAGCTTATAAAATATAACTTGCTTAAAGTAGAGATGCCAACTTAAGTCTTTTTGACCCCAAAACTTTCCTTTTAAACTAATATCCTGAAATACCTCCTATTCATCTTAGTGCCTTCTTTTCTTTCAATCCTCTGTTCCTCCAATGTCAGCTCCAGCCTCTCTTGACTGGAAGTATGATTAAGGACAGTATCATCATCACTTTCATTAATTGTCATTGGCTTTTGAACAACTCTTTCATAAAAATCCCAGTCAGGGGCCGGCCCAGTGGTGTAGTGGTTAAGATCACATACTCTGCTTCAGTGGCCCAGGGTTCTCAGGTTCAGATCGCAGGTGTGGACCTACACTACTCATCAAGCCATTCTGTGGTGGCATCCCACATACAAAATAGAGGAAGATTGGCAAAGATGTTAGCACAGAGCCAATCTTCCTCACAAAAAAATAAAAAAGAAAATCCCAGTGCAAATCAAGGTCTCCCCTCTTTGAACTGCTGTGGTTTTTTGAATCAGCACCACACATCTCAAGCCAATTTGACGTCCTGACCTTATTTTGACTGCTATGTATAACACTAAAATGGTGCTTTCTTCATTCAGTTTTTTTCTAATTTGTTACTTATTTATCTCTTAAACTTCTTGAAATAATGATTTTTGTTTATATATATTATTCCTTTCCAAAATTATTATAAAGTAATTTTAGCCCTCAGCATTAAAACTTTTATTTCTGAAGTCATCAATGCCCTTAAACTTGCCAAATCTAATGCATTCAGTCTATACAGTGTTTGACAAGGTGGGCACCCTCTCCTTTTTCGAAATTTCTTTCCTATTTTTCCAAAATATCTTGGTTTTCTCCTGATTTTTCCAGCTAGGTATCTCAACTTTGTTAGACTCCTAAATTTTTACATCTCCTTTGCCAACCCATTAAAAGTTGGAATACCCCCAAGATTCTGTGCCTAGTACTATCTCGTCTTGTGTGTCTCTCTTTTTTCTCAGCCTGTGTGCTTTTCTACAGTGATCTTATCAACTTGCACAACTTCAAGTGGTTATTTAATTACCAGGGAACCAATCCAGTACGTGTTAGGCAGTGCCCCTCTATACATGCATATTAAACCCTGGCAAACCCCTATCGGGGGACTTCTCTGTTCTCTAAAAAACGCCCCGACTATGATGTCAGCTCCTTAAAGTTAGTGATGGTTTCTTATTCACAGCAGTTTAACCCTGTGTTTGCTAATTAGTTGATATTCAAATAATGGCAACTTAAAGAAATTCAGTTCTGTCTTAATTTATTTCTCTTCTCTATAAGTATCCACCTATAGAATGTGATAGCTCAATAACACACCTCCTCTAATTCACAATCACTTCCAGCCCTCACCTAAAACCTTGAAGCAAAAGTCTCTGAGAACTTCCAAGCTCCTTCATATCTCAAGTCTGCTCCGTGCACCCACTGCCCTCCAGGGACCATCAGGCCCTCGAGGCCTTTACTTTCATGACCCCTGTAGATTCCTCCTGGTCCACATTCAGCACACCTGGTTTTATTCCCACAGAGCTATACTCTCAATAATATAGTTCTCAGGAACTAATTTTCTGTGTTAGTGGAAATACCATTACACTTCCCTGGGAAACTGTCTTGCTACAAGGGACTCTGGAAGCCAGCAGGCTGCATGCTACTGCCTGAGTCTGCCTCAGTGTCTCAGAAACAACTGCCGTCCTCTTTCCTGATGTGCATCTTAAATTTATTGTGCCAGATGCTGTACCACACACACGTAATACAGAGATGTGTAAAACATGTACTGCTTTCCAAGGGTTCTGAGTCTAGACACGAGGGAAGACTGTGAGGCTGCACTGAGGTAAGAGCTATGAGGAGCATGAAGAAAGGCTGAAGCTCATGTGGCGTGTAACTCCCAGGTCATTGCTGACAAAGTCGTCCTCCAAGACCGTCAGCTCCTAAAGCAATCTGTGTCATCTTCGTGTCTTTCATGTCTTGCAAAATTCTGGGCCTGAGATAGACAATACATATTTATTGAATTTGTGAATGAGTGAATGCGTGCAGCTGGAATGGCTGGCCTGCAGCAGGCCTTGGGGGCGGGTATCTGGGCGGTCTTTGGCTTCTGGGATTCCTCTTGGCCCCGTGCAGGGAGCTCCTGGAGCCCCAGGGCTGGGAGGCTGAGGAGAGCCACCTCATCCCAGGTTGTGAAAGTGACTGTTCTGCATACACAGGCTGTTCCTCATTCCTGGGAAGACACCAGGCCCAGGATAAAAGGGCTCCAGTGCTAAACTCCTCAGTCCTCAGCGCTGACAGTGACAGCTTCTGCCTCCTCCACTGACCCAGTGAGTGCTTGGCAAAGGAGGCTCCAGGGGCAGGACTGCAAGGAGAGCAGGGCAGAAGAAGGGAGGGAGAGAGAGAGGGGTTACCATGGGGTGTGGGGGTGGGAGCCGGAACATGTGAGGGATTCTGTAACTTGCAGATGCTCCTGGTCCAGGCTTCTCTTTATAAAGCCTGTCAGGACATCCTCTCTTGATCTCTCTTGGTCAAGTAAGTATCTGGTGCAAAGCGAGCCATGGGGCTGGGGATATTCTAGGTTAGGGAGAGAAGGGCAACAAGAAGACCCGCTTTGTGGGCCATGGGAAGGAAGAAGAGGAGAAAGAAGAAAAAGCAGCAGGCAGAGGTTTGAACTGCTAAGATTTGAGCCATCAGTGTCTTTCCCTCTCATTCTCCTCCGATCACTGTGCTCAGAGATGACAAATATCCACCGAAATGTTTAACAATGACTGATCCACCCTGGGAAGGATTCTGAATTATGGCCAGTGATGTTTCCGAGTGTCTGGGAGGCCTCGCATGGGGCTGACTTCAGGGCCCATGTAGGAAGATGATCAGAATCTTGGACTGAGAAAGAACAGAAATGGGGAAAGCGAGCTCTACTGCAGTGAGCTGCACTTCCCGCCAGTTTCCAGATTCTGTTTATGATCTTGGTCATGAAGCAGCTTGTCTTGGGTGAGGAGTTAGTGAAATGCAGGGTAAAGGACACATCTGCTTCTCACTTGCATGCTGATGACTTTTTACATTTCTCCCTAGGGTCACTGACTTCTTCCCTAAAATGTTCTGCCAGCAGAGCCAGCAGCAGTGCCAGCCTCCTCCCAAGTGTCCCACACCTAAATGTCCCCCCAAGTGCCCACCCCAGTGCCCAGCCCCATGTCCACCTCCAGTCTCTTCCTGCTGTGGCCCCAGCTCTGGGGGCTGCTGTAGCTCTGGGGGAGGGGGCTGCTGCAGCTCTGGGGGTGGTGGCTGCTGCCTGAGCCACCACAGACGTCGAAGATCCCACCGCCGCAGACAGCAAAGCTCTGACTGCTGTAACAGTGGCAGTGGTCAGCAGTCTGGGGGCTCCAGCTGTTGTCATGAGTCGGGGGATTCTGGCTGCTGCTCTGGGGGCTGCTGCTGACCTACACCATGAGGACTTTCAACAAGCAGAGCTGGAAGACCAAAGTACTGAAGACCCACCCCAACCTGCTGCTCTTCCTCCCTCTTTTCCTGTCTTCTGTGTCCTGCAGCCTGATCCACTGAAATCTTCCAAAGGAATCTTTTGCACTTCCCCTAAAAATTTCCAGGCCCATCTTCTTATGAATTACAAACAATAAAGCCTTCTCCATTAAGCCTACCTGCCTCTTGCTTATTTTTGCCAGCAGCACCCCTACAGGTCAGTGTTAGCAACCTGGGTCCCCACCCTGCCTTGCCAGGGACAGAAACCTGGCTCAGGAGTGGTGATCAACTGGTCAGTGTGTACTCACAGGATGTCCCTGGAAAGATATCAGTTGACCTTTCCTGCACACAGAGAGGACCACTCTAATTTTCAGTTGCCAGTTGAGGATGTTCACCTCCCATGGGTACACTTGAGTTTTCGCCTCTACTATATTTTTTTTATTAATAATAACAATGACAACTCCTAATATTAAGTGAAGAATTAAAAAATGCTGGAACTGTACCCAACAACTACAACCTGGAAGCAAGTCAAATGCCCATCAGATGGAAGAAGGAGGAGGCGTTGTTAGACACTCACATGCGGACTGTGATTCAGTAATCCACAGAATGGACTAAAGCAACACAAAGCACACAAATAAGTGAAAAAAAGCACTTCCCAAAATTTTACTGACAGCGTGATACCCTTTTTATAAGTTAAAAAACAGTAAAATATATCCTTTTTGGCTGTTGTGCATATGACTATGAAATAGAAAATGAGATATGGATACAAAATTTTTTTGAATGATAAATACTTTGGTGGGGAAGAGCTGGGGTAGTTGTGTGGGGTAGGAACATGTGGTTGAAGGTGGGTTGTTGTTAACATCCTAGCTTTCATTTTGGTGGGTCCTCTGTTCTTTCTATATTGTTAAAATGAATGAGGGAGTGAATGAACAGATAGACAAATCAACAAACTAAATAATTAAGTGGTCTACGCATGGATCAATGATGACAGTGTGTCACGGTCCAAGAACTTCTGATTTCTCCAATTCTATACATTTAAGGTCCTGTTTTTCCAAAAAATGTGTTACAATCCTTAACTTACATAATGTTCTCATTTTATTCTCGCAACTCTTTAAAATATATAATTTTGATTCCCCATTAATTTTATAAATAAGGAAATTAAGTTTCACATAAGTTAAATAATTTGCCCAAGTTCACACAGTAAGAACAAAGCCAGACCTTTGTCAGTATCTTGAGTCTTTCACCTCTGCTCTCTTCTCTTTTCTCTTTCTTCTCACCTCTCCTGGGCAAGCGTATCTACTTCTGTGACATCAGTCAACACTCTTATGCTGATGGCTAAGAAGTTCCTTCTAGAGTGGCTTCATTGACCCCTCAATCTAAAATAAACCCCTTGTCACTCAGGCACATCATGCTGCTTCATTTCTTCATTTTACTTATCACTAACAAATTGTTCCTTATTTATTTACTTTTTTTGTGCCCTTCTCTTCCCACTTTAACGTAAACTTTTTGAGAGTGCAAACCTTGTTATCCTGTCCAGTGTCATCTTTCCAGTATCTAGAATAGAATATTGTGGTTGCGTGAAAACTGTCCTTCGGCTACGTAGCTCCTAGGTCAATATGCAAAGTCCATATGTGTTTCCTGAACTTTAGATTGATTCATTTGGCTGTCTTTCAGATTTTACCAATCAAGGGTTCCATTCTTACCTCAAACTCAAAATTCAAAAAATAAAACCCATTCCTAATCCTCCGTTCGTCAAACCCCTTCTCTGTTGATTTCCAACTCAGTGAATAGCACCATCTGCCTAGTTCGGAAACTGAAAACATCTTGGATTGTTCTCTCTCTTGTAACCCCCATCTCCCCCATCTCTTGGGTGTTCATTGGCCAATGACAGGCTGAAATGTCATTAAAATAAATGATACTCAGGCAAAAGTCTAAGAATATTTTTTTATGAAATAATGATTATTTCAGTTTAAATAGTCATTTTAGGTGTTTTCGTACATTATTGGAAATTATCTCTCATTGTTGATGTGTATGCATTGGAGACATATGTATTATCTCAATAAAATTCTAGTTTGTGTCCCTGAGTTATTAACTTCTCTTTACTTAGTGTACTCCTCTGTCAAAAAGGGCTAATAAAATCATGCAAGTGATAAGGTTGTTGTGAGGGTTAAATGACTTAATACATGTAAATAAACAGCTTAGGACAGGATAATAACATTTTGCTCTCAGGTGACACAAAAACCCCAGGAATACATTTATTCCACAGAGTGAGGACTTTTTGCCATCACCATCATGATCACACTTATCTTCATCACTAACATCAACATCATCACCATGATATGACCACTCCCATCAATGATCTTTGTTCTTTGAACCAACTTGGTAACTAACCCAGCCCACATTATTCACTTCCTTTCTGAATATCTAAAGTTCCAGCAATCAATTCCACACATTCTGTACTCAAGTGAGTACTGTCTTAATGGACTTTACGTTTTTGTTTTTGTAAGCTCAAGAAATGATGATTTTCTTATCTCTGTCCTTTCTAATTTCTTACAAAGTTGTCTTTCATTTCTCAATTATTTACCACTCTATTAAGCCCATTATTTGATAGAATGATTATAAAAGGGCTTCTGCTGTCACATCTCTGAAATCAGTCTCTCTAAGATTACTACTGATGTCCTAACAACCAAATGGAGTGGGCTCACTGGGGCATGATGATCGCCTTCTCCTTAGAACTCTCTCTTTCTTTGAATAATAACACACATTTTAAAAATCTTTTTCTTTCTTAGGCTAATACTGACTATTCCAATGCAGTGTCCATTCTCTTTGCTCATCTGCTATCCCTTAATGAAGTCTTGGGGCCTTCAGTTCTCTTTGATCCCTGTGAGCGTGATGACGTCATCCTTGCCGTAGAATCAACTAGGTACCATATTCCTCTCCAGTCTGAGTTCCATGCCCTCCCCTAAGCTCCAATAGGACCCAGGGCTTAGGTCTAACAATGAAGTCACGTTTCCTCATCTGTCTTCCACACTGGCTTGTGACAGCCTTCAAGGCAGGGACATTTATCCGTGTATTTTGAGTACTTAGTAGAGTGCCCATTCCAATGTAGAACACAGCACATATCTGCCTAATTAGGTCTACTTGTCTCTAATTTCAGAAGTCAATAAGGCAAAAATATGTATTTTCACATATCTAAGTATTGCCTACCCTCATACTTGGCCTTAAAATCAAAGTTCAATGGAATCTCCTATGAGTAAATGGCAGCATTTGTCATTTATCTTTTGCCTCCCCTGCCCTCCATTTCATCCTATTATAGCACTGACTATTCATCCCTTAGGCTATCTCCTGCCCTTCACTTGGCTGTCCCTTGAGTCTCCTTCCCTAGTCAGTGACCTGAGCTTCAACCCCTTTCCTGGGCTGCTTACACATTCCCACACTCCTTTGGAATTTCATTCCCTCGGCCTGTGCTCTCATTAGATAATATTCTGACCATTGACAGATGATGACATCCAAGGTCATGTCCCATTTGACCCAGTGTGTGCTCTCATAAGGGTACTTCCAGAGCCCAAATAATGGATTGAGACTGAGTCACAAGCTTCTACCTTGGGTGCTAAAATACAGCACCTCATTCATTAGTTAGTCAATCAGTATCATTAACTATTTTCTTCTTCATACTTATCCCCATTCTGTTAAACGCAATTTCAGGGGAAATGGAGATGAATAAAGTCCAGTGCTCACCAAATTCTCCATCTGGAAGAGCAGAGAGACATGCAAATGGACATGTCATTGTTCTAAGATAAGAGCTATTAGGAGCCCAATATGGGTCACAGGGCCTCTTACAGCACATAGGAAATTGACTTATAGTGCATTGTATACATGAATGTCCTCAAGGAAACCTGGCTGATATTTATGACAACAGCATCTTGCAAAATTCTGGCCCTAAGACAGACAATACATATATATTGATTTAATGAGTGAATGCATGCAAGTGGAATGGCTGGCCTGCAGCAGGCCTTCGGGGTAGATATCTGGGCAGTCTCTGGCTTCTGGGATTCCTCTGGCCCCATGTGGGGAGATCCTGGAGTCCTAAGTCTAGGAGTGTGAGGAAACACCTCATCCCAGGTTGTGAAAATGACTGCTCTGCATACACAGGCTGTGCCTCACTGCTGGAAAGACACCAGGCCCAGGATAAAAGGGCTCCAATGCTAGACTCCTCAGTCCTCAGCCCTGACAGTGACAGCTCATGACTCCTCCACTGACTGGGTGGATGCTTGGCAAAGGATGTTCTGGGACATAAGACTGCTAGGAGGGAGGGGCAGAAGAAGGCAGGGAGAGAGGAAGGAGTCATTGGGGGTCAGGATGTGAAGGATCCTGCAAATGCAGAGGTCTTGGTTCTCAGTATCATCTTCTAATTTATTCTTTGGAAAAAAAATGTTTTTGGATATGTCCTACCCCCATCTGACATCTTTGAGATTAAGGGTCAGAAAATGACTGCATTACCTTGTTTCTTTGGGGACAAGAAGGTTTATGTAGGAGTGATTTTGGAGCCCACATAGGGAGATGGTCAGCATATGTCACGGGGATCAAAGTGGACTGAGAAGAGGGAATATTTATCAAGGTTTGTCTTCCTCCAGATCAGATTCCAAATTGCATTGTAGGACTTGGTTCATGAACCAGTCAGTTGTAGAAGGTCGGTTTCTATGAAATCCAGGGGAAAGAAAATAATGAGAATGAATCCTTGAGATTGTGCGCTGATTTCTTTTTGTTTCTGTCAGGCTAACTGAACTCTTGCCAAGATGTGCTGCCAGCAGAACCAGCAGCAGTGTCAGCTCCCTCCCAAGGACCCTCCAAAATAACCCCCTAAATGCCCGCCCCACTGCCCAGCCCCATGTCTCTCTCCCATCTCCTCCTGCTGTGGCCCCAGCTCCCAGAGCCACCACAGGTTGTCTTTTCCACAGGCACCAGCACCAAAGCCCCGACTGCTCTGAGTGTGAGCCTTCAGGGGGCTCCGGCTGCTGCGGTGGCTCTGGGGGCTGCTGCTGACAGGGATCTTGCCCACAAAGGAGCAGGAATGGGACGACCCAAGTAACACGGATCCTTCCTCTGAACTTTTCCTCTCCTCACACCCTTTCTTCTGTTCTGGAGATTAAGATGCTAAAAATGAAGTCTTCTC